ACTTCGTTGGATTCTAGTTTTAATTAGGACTAAAATTTAACGGTTAAATCCCAGAGGAGTTGCCTGCCTGTCATGTTCCCATAAAAAAAAAAAAACAAAAAGAAAAAAAAAAAAAGGAGTTCCGTGTGGTGTCTTCTAATGAGCTAAATTTATATACATGTTAATGTGAAATTATTGCCTTGATATTGTTGATATCTGAATGAGTTTTATGAGATTTTACTTGATTTTACATAATTTTTATTCTTTGTGTAGGAAAGGATTTAATTGGAAGAAATTATAATTTTTAGGAGTAAATTATAGAGATCAGAAAATTGAGGATCAACTTGTGCAGAATCCAGAAGTCAGGGACTAGGACTGTTATTTTACCATTACAGAAATGGCTAAGAAGGCCAAGAACCCGACATGGCGATGGCATTGTGCGCTGAACAGAAAGTGTCGGCACCTTGTTGAACCTGTTGACCCCTTCCACAATTTTCACAATATCTGTGTTTAGTTGATTATTATAGGTGTGGGTCTCACGTCTATTCTAATTATGGTTTTTAAAATCTTATAAATACCCTTCTAAATTTAGAATTGAGAGAGCTAATGAGGTTGGTGGTAACCCTCTTTGGGGTATTTTTGAAGTTTAAGATAAAAAATTCATCAACAATAGAAGATCAAGAAGTTCAAGTTTCTCAAATTAGGTTTGTTTTTCCTTATATTCTTTTTTATCTATTGTTTGATATTCAAATGTTCATAACTATGATTTCAGATTTTATTATTTTTGTAATGAACTAATTTATTTTATTAAGGTTATAATGTAACATATTCAATTTAATATAAATTTTATGATTTTTACTTTCAATTAAAGTTATTTGTATGATGAATTTATATTATTGAGTTTAATGCATTGAGAGCTTATCACCTTTCAATTGATTTAGTGATTTATGCATGAACTTGAGAAAGAATTGTATAAATTAGACCAATAATAATATAAACTGTGTGCTAGACTATGAAACCGAAAGGTAATTAACTCATACGTGGTAGTGGAGGAAGAGGAGAGTTAGGAGCTCCATCTTCTTAAACTAGAGGTTTTCATAGAATTTTATACTCATTCGTTTGTTTAAAATTACATAGAAATATAATTAATTTAGTAAACAAGTAAATGATTAATTTGACTTGAAAAAGCTAATTAATTAATTTAGGGAATCTGTCATCACATGCAATAGCACTAAACAATTTGATAATTCAGAATTTATATTAATTGATTATGGTGAAGTCAATGTTTTAATACCTCATATCTTGGTTAGTTTTATTTTAATTATTAGTTTTTTTCTGTTATTTTAATTAAAATTCCCTCTTCTTGATTGTTCAAATAAATTTAAATTAATTATTTTGATATTTAATTAAACACAATCCTTGTGGGTTCGACACTTTTCTCATCATTATATTATTTGGAGTGACTAATACATTTGTTAGAGTGATTTTTTTAGTTTACTCGAAGACGAGCAAAACTTAAGTTTGAGGAAATTTGATGAGCTAAATTTATATACATGTTAATGTGAAATTGTTACCTTGATATTATTGATATTTGGATGAGTTTTATGATATTTTACTTGATTTTACATAATTTTTATTCTTTGTGTAGGAAAGGGCATAAAACTTGATAATTTGGATCAAACAAACACAAAAATAGTCATTAATCTTTCTTAGTCTTTATAAGCTTCTTGATTTTTGTTATAGACTGCTGAAGTAAATTATCAAAAACTTCATCCAAACAAGACTCAATAAATGACCTGTTTGAAAAGATAAGTCCTTCATTTGATACATTTTCAGTACAATTATCTC